GATGCTATGATGTTAGTACCTTCTTTGGAGGACTGTGAAGATGTGGTGACTTAACACATTTGTGGCATTTACAACAATCCATGCTTCGAGAAGGTGTTAGCTATTATCTTCTGGAGCCTTGCAGGTGGCTCAGTTGGTGAAGTGCCTGGTGCACAAACATAAAGAGCCTCATCACCCCTGGACCCCCACACAAGCACCCTGACTTTTTGTTTGCATTTCAGAGCCTTGTGCAATGAAACCCAAAGGGCTCCAAGTGTTTGTAAACGAATGGGGGTTGTTGGTCTTCTTTCTACTCACCAGCTCTTTATTTCAGAGCTGTTGTAGCTCCTTACATGCTTGGACTAATAAAGTAATAGCAGTGGCTGTGGTTTTCTTCAAACTTTTGAGTTGGCATTAAATAGCTGGTAGCCGTCATTACTGGTTACTTTTGGATGCTTGTGAAGAGTCAGAGCACTCATTCCTTACATCTTTTTTCTTGTCAGTCTGTTATATCCACTGTGGCTCTCCTTGAACACATCCATGTTTCTCCTTAAGTTTTCTGCTGTAGGAATAGGGGCGGGAAAGGAAAGGCCAGCCTTTCCAGTTCTGAAGCAGCTTTGACTATGTGCTGCTTTATGTCCTCAGGGCTAAAATACCACTCCATCTGCTCCAGTCAGGGTGTGGCCTCTGGTGTTTGCCTGCCCCACCCTTTACATGCTGGTTGTGGTCATTTAAATAAGAGTGGTCACCATAGGTGCTTGGTCTCCAGGGAACGGAGCTGTTTGAAAGGATTAGAATGTGTGTCCTTGTTGGTGGAGGTTTGTATTGGGAATGGGCTTTAAGGTCTCAAAAGCCCATGCTAGGCCCAGTCTTCTCCTCTGCTCTCAGCTACTTCTCTAGCACCACTTCTGCCTGCCTCCATGCTTCCTGCCAGGATGGACTAAGGCCCCGAGTTAAATGCTTTCTTTTTATGAATTGCCTTGGTCATGTTGTGTAGTCTCAACACCCATTCCCAAATAACCACTCTAAGGCTTAATATTAGTTATAATTGTTTGGCCAATGGTTCAGACATATTACATATTACTGACTAGCTCTCACAATTAAATTAACCCATTTCTATTATTCTGTATTTTACTGTGAGGCTCGTGGCTTGTTAGCTCATGTCTTGCTTCCCTGGCAGCTACATGGCAACTCTCTGACTCCTTCTTTCTCTATACATCTTTGTTTTTGGATTTCCTGCCTGGCTGTATTCTGCCTGGCCATTGGCCAAAACAGCTTTATTCATCAACCAATAAAAACAACACATTCATAGCATATAGAAGGACATCCCACATCAATGGTGTTTCTTCACCACCAGAGGCCAGTCTCTCTCCCCCTCTTTCCAGAATAGAGACTAAGACAATGGTCTTATGGGTTTCTGGTCTTCACAGCTGGTGCTTTGAGCCTGTTTCTTTACTCTTTCCTGACAGCCCCTGCCAAAACTCCTATAATGATTTCTGTGGTGCTAGGTTACTTTTCCCTGGTCAGTGTCTTATAAATGGTGGTCCTCTTTTTTGTGTTTTGGCTCTCAATATAAATATTTTTAACATATTTTGAGAGTCATTTGTTAAATTTACAAATAATGTAATTATTTGTAATTATTACAGTAGTTCCTTTAAAGCTTGTGCACGCACGCGCATGTGCATGAGGAGATCAGAAGTTATCAAGTATCTTCTTGAGTTGGTCTTTTGAGAAGGCCTTTCAGTTGTTCAGGGTCTCTCACTGAACGTGAGGCTCACTGTTCTAGCTAGACTGGCTGCCCAGTGAACTCCAGGGATTTTCCTTTCTCTGTTTCCCCCATTGCCTGACCTTAGTGCTTGTCTAGGGGTCAGGTAGGTGTGGAGAGAAGACTCTGGTCTTCATGCCTGTACAGTAGACATTTGACCAACTGAGCCATGCCTCCAGCCCTTCATTTAAGCGTTTGCGTCATTCTATGATATAAATGGGACAAGATTTATTTTCCCATTCTTGTTTTGATAGACTATGGCTTTTCCAGTCTTAGGTATTGTGAATGAGGCTATTACTTTTTGTGTAAGTTTTAAGTTTCTCTGAAACTTAAGGTGTGGACTTGCTGGGTCTTAGCACAGAAGTATATTTAACTAAAAAAGAAACAGCTAGTTTTCCAACTTTCTACCATCCTGTACTCTGTATGCAATGTTTGAGGTGTTAGCATTCAGGCATTATGCTGGCCTGCCCCTTGAGGACTTGGCAGGATTCATCCCTGTACACATGAGCTTTCCAGTACTCAGGCAGTACTCTGACCTGCTCGGGGCCCTGACAAACAACATCATCAGCTATGTGGCTAGTAACCTCTGGGCACATGTGCTACATCCCCTCATAAAAGGCTGGGCCTGTCTCCTGTCTCCTCTTCCTGCTCTCATCTCCAGAGGCCAGTCTCTCTCCCCCTCTTTCCATTCCCCTCTCCCAAATGAACCCTCCATGTGAGCCCTGTCACATGGTGTGAGTCTCTGTCTCTCTCGATGTTTTTCAGTTATAAACATGAAGGTTGCAGTTGCTGTGCATCCTTGCTACTGGGGTCAGAGTGTGTGAATATTAACCAGGCTAGTGTGTGGAGCTACTTCTTGGAGTGTTTTCTTTGAATCTAATGACTAGTTGTATTGAATACCATTTGTGTACTTAGTGGGTACTATACGTTGGCTTGTGATGTGGCTAGCTCCTCTGCTGTGGTGCATCTACTCACATTTAAACACTTTAGGTTTTCCTCTTGTGCTTTGTAGGGTTGTTTGTTTTGCTGTTGCAACAAAATACTTGCCACATGCAGTCAGGGTGGGGAACTTGCTTAGTTTGCAGTTCAAGAGTACATCTTAGTAAGGGAGTCATGTGCCAGAGGCTTGTGGAAGCTGGTCACGCTGTCCTTACTGAAGGAGCAGAGAATGACTGCTGCTGCTTGACTGCGGAACTGCAGGCTCTGGGATGGTCTGCCTGAGGTCAAAGGTGTGTCTTCTCAGCCTAATATAGATCCCTCACAGTGCACTGAGTACATGATAGTCCTAAACCCTGTCAAGTTAACCACCGAGACACCATCACAGGCCTTATCATAAACTTGTATCTTTCTTTTCATATTTTTAATTCACAGTATACCATGTGGGATTTGTCTTCTGGGTTTTTCTCTTTGAATACCCCCCCCCCCCACACACACACACTGTAGCTTGGGTTTCTAGAAACTTAACACCTAAAAAGATTTATGTGTATGGTGTTTTGCCTGCATGTATATCTGCATCATGTGCATGCCTGGTGCTCATGGCCAGAAGAGGGCATCAGATCCCCTGGAACTGGAGTTAAGACAATTGTGGCCAGCCATGTTGGTGACAGAACTGAACCTTGGTCCTCTGGAAGAACAGCAGTTCCCTTCGTCTAGACTCAGCAACTGCAGACAGCTTGGACACTTGCTTTTTCTCTGTTTATAAAAGCATCTCTTTCTGAACATATTTGAGAGTGTGGTTCAGGAATCACCACCCTAAAATTGCCATAGAACTTTGTTTACTCTAAGAGCAGTTGTTTGATAATAGCCTATCCTGCAGTTAGGAGGATGCAATGGGTTGATTATGGCTCTTACTAACTCCAGTTTCTATTGGATGTCCTCATGAAGCTGTCATTTTCTCCCTAGTGACTCCAATGGGATCAGGTAGCAATCGACCTCAGGAAATAGAAATTGGAGAATCTGGTTTTGCTTTATTATTCCCTCAAATTGAAGGAATAAAAATTCAGCCCTTTCATTTTATTAAGGACCCCAAGAATTCAACACTCGAACGACATCAGCTTGCTGAAGTGGGTAAGTTGATGTTTACTGCTTTTACTTATTTGGTTTTTGAGGCAGGGTCTCACTACGTAGTTCTGGCTGGCCTTGATCTCAGATCTTCTTGCCTCTGCCTCCTGAATGCTGGGGGTTTAAAGGAACATGGCAATACCTGGCATTGTTGTTTATTATTATTCGCTTAATTTGTTCTAATTCTGGCCAGCTAGCAGCTGCTAGGCTACTGTTGACAAGGCTGGTGATTGGTAGAGTTGGTTTTAAATTGTTTTATTTGCCGTGAAGTCCTAGATGACCAGACATGAACATTTTTTGATAAGTATTCTGTTGGTAAGCTTGTGTATGTACAGTGTGTGTGTCTGCTGCCCATGGAGAGCAGAAGAGAACATCAGATTCCCCGGAACTGGAAGTGTAGACAGTTGTGAGGTAAGGTACATACATGCATGCATTTAATTTTAGTTGAAATTTGAAGGAATTCTTGATCTTCAGTAGGTTCTTACTGATAATTTTGCCTTATTTGTTTTTAAAAAGATTTCTAGTAGCCATTTACTATATAAGTTTTTAGAAGAAAAAAGTTGGCATTAGGAGAGATAGGCATGAACTTGGTGATGTGTTAGGAAATGAACAGTTAAGATTGCTCCAGAGTTTGAGAAAGCAAGTGTGGTTGAGTTTGAAGTAGGCTTTGGTGGGAAAACTTATTTGGTGCAGTAGACAACTAGCTACTCCAGCAAAGCAGTGGACTGAGACTACTTTTCCTTCTCCATGTGCATGTATGTTGCAGGTGCATCTGTGTGGAGACCAGAGGTTGATGTCAGGTGCATACCTCCTGCAGAGTCTCTTCACACTGACTTCTCTTGAATAGTCATGCCATTGTCCCAAGCTAGTCACTTCCCTAGAAGTGACACTCTTCTTCCTAAACAACTTAACTGTTCCACAGGCTTCTTCCTACTCAGATTTGTTCTGCAAAAGAAAAGGGTCTTCTCTCAATGTGCCAGGCTCATCTGTAAGAGGGAGAACCCTTCAAAACTGGCTTGGGATGCACAGTGTGGTTTACTACATGGAAAATTAGAACTGGCCTGGGGCAGAGTCTAAAGTGTTGTCAGTAATCAATTGTCTTCTCAGCAGCATTAGGGTGGAGATACTGCTCCATGCAGTAACCTGAAGGTCAAGTTTCTTAGATTTCAGCACAGAAAAGAATTCCAGGATGAGCTGTTGTGTAACAGAATTGGAGTTTATTAAGAGATTTTTTAATATACATTTCAGCATGGAGGTTGAGAGACATTCAGGGAAAGTGGGTGTGAGCTCAGAAAAAAAGTCACATCATTGTCTTTACAAAAGCTGTCATTAAAAGATTGCTAATAGATTTAACTGGAATCTGGTTGCAGGACAGGCTTACATTTGATAAGACAACACTCTAGGTCAGTAGCATGGGGTTAGATGTTAATGTACTGGGATTCTTGATTGGCCGAGCCTGAGCATTGTGGTCTGCAGGGCTCCTTTCCCTTCCCATCTAGCTTCAGTCTTGCTGATGGAAGTCATGTGGCTGAGTTAAATGAAAACATTTGGTGTATTAGGAGCTGCATTTTCTTCCTGTCCCAGAAGCCACCGGAGATTAATGCTGTGAAAACAGGCTGCCGGAGACTTGGGTGGAAGGAAGCCTGGAGCTCTGGAAATTAGATGCTACTGGCTCCCTTGAGCCTTCCTCTAGGTCACTGGCATGCATGGAATTGGAATGTGGAGCCCCCTCACATGGTTCGCTAGAACTGCGTCCTTGCTTGTGTGAGGCATTGACTGCTGCACAGCACACACTGGTGCCCGTCATTGTGTTTTAAGACTGTCCTGTGTCTTACTTCTCTGCAGGTCTTCTGGATAACCCTGAGCTTCGTGTGGTCCTTGTCTTTGGCTATAACTGCTGTAAGGTGGGAGCCAGTAATTATCTGCAGCGAGTAGTCAGTACTTTCAGCAATATGAATATCATCTTAGCTGGAGGCCAGGTGGACAACTTGTCTTCACTGACTTCTGAGAAGTAAGTCTGGGGTGAATGGAAACAATTTCAGGTTCTCATTACTTGGGGTTTTTACAAATTGGAGGAATGTGGCACTGTATGCCTTTAAACCCTGTACTCTGAGGAGGTAGAGGCAGGTGAATCTCTTGAATTCAGAGCCAGCCTGGTCTACATTGATGACTTCCAGGCCAGCCAGGGCTACAAAGCAATATACCCTGTCTCAAAAAAAAAGGAAAGGTATTGCTAATGAACCAGTCCCTTCATTGTCTGAACACAATTCTGCTTGCAGTCAAAGAACTAAGAATATCAGAGTTGGGCTCTGTCAGCATTGCCTGTTGATATATTTTACGGTCTGGTCCTCCTTGTGATGTTGCTCCTGCAAATGAAGAGGTCATTCATGAGGCTAAAATAAATGCACATTGCTTTTATTTCAATATAGAGTTGAGTTGTTTAAATAATTAAATAAGGAAAAGGGGAACTGAGGTGAGGTTGAAACAGCTTGTTTTAAAGTTTTCAGTGGCCCTTGTGTGGCAGTCATTTTGAATGAGCTGAGAATAGACTGATGCCAGTCTGGTCTACAGAGCGAGTGCCAGGACAGCCTCCAAAGCTACACAGAGAAACCCTGTCTTGAAAAACAAAACAAAAAGTTCAACCCTTGGGACGCACAAAGTGGAAAGAGAAAGGACTCTTTTGCTCTCCATCCATATGCTGTGCCACGTGCATGCTCACCAATGTAACAGAAAGAGGTTTTTAAAGATTTGGTTATGTGGTATATGAGTCTGCTCATGAGTGCAGGTGCCCTTGACAGAGGTATTAGATTCCCTGGAGCTGGAGTCACAGATGGTTATGAACTGCCTGCTGTGGGTACTGAGAATCAAACTGGGCAGAACATGCTCTTAACTTCTGAGCCACCTCTCCAGTCCCACCCAACCCCACCCCCAGTTGTGAAGTTTTAAATTCAAGCTCAGAGCAATAAACAAGATGGAAAGCATTGCAATCATAGTCTTAAAGGTTAGTCAACATGGAGCCTGAGGAGTTGAAAATTATCCTCCATGATTATATTTTTGTTTGGTTGGTTTGAGAAACAGTCCTGGCTATCCTCGAACTCACAGAGATCTGCCTGCCTCCCTGAGTGCTGGGATTAAAAGTGTGTGTCACCACACCTGGCCCATATAAACGGTGGATTCAGTGAGGCAGGGGGAAGGTGCTATGATGCAAATCATATTTTATGTAGGTGTCATGAGATGGGGATATCAGTGTTAGAGTGCTTGCTAGCACCACCTCGACATAAGCCTGCCAGGTCCCAGAAAGGTACTTACTGGGTACTAACCCAGGAAGAGCTTTTGTGTAACTTGTGGCTGAAAAAGACGGTTGTTCACCTCTTTCTGATCTGCCTGTTTTTAATAACTGTCTTGTTTAATCCCTGTGTGACAGGATATATCTCATACTTTTAAAGCACAGTTGCCAAAGGCTGCAGATCTCTCCTCCCTAGTTAATCAGGAGCTGTTGATTTTCTGTTCTGTTCCCAGGAACCCTCTGGATATTGATGCCACAGGTGTGGTTGGACTGTCCTTTAGCGGGCACCGAATCCAGAGTGCTACAGTTCTCCTCAACGAGGATGTGAATGATGACAAGACTGTAGAGGCAGCCATGCAGCGCCTCAAAGCAGCCAACATCCCCGAACAGAACACCATCGGCTTCATGTTCGCGTGCGTTGGCCGGGGCTTCCAGTACTACAGAGCCAAGAGCAATGTGGAGGCTGATGCATTCAGAAAGTTTTTTCCCAGTGTCCCCTTATTTGGCTTCTTTGGAAATGGGGAGATTGGTTGTGACCGGATAGTCACTGGGAACTTTATACTGAGGCGGTGTAATGAGGTAAAGGAAGAGGACCTGTTCCATAGCTATACAACCATCATGGTGCTCATTCACCTGGGGACTTCTAAATAAGTCTTGTTGAGAGTGGTGCTCACAGGATGGAACTTTGGGGGTTTGCCTTATTTCAGAAAAATGGAGACTTGGGATGTATTTTAAACAAAACTAGCTCCTTGTGTTTTTTTTAGCTTTGAGTCATGCCCTGAGATCACGTTTAATACATAGATGGACAGCTTTGTACACACAGATCAAGAAGAGAGGCTGGTGTCAGGCACAAGCAAAGCCATTGTGACCAAGCACTCTGGGAGATAGAAGAGGCCACCAGGAAGATGGAGGTTGTGGTGGGAGAACTTTTAGCACAATCATGATGACTTTATCCCCTTTAATAAAGGAGAAACTTTAAAGAGATGGTTAACAAATATTACTGACTTTTTACTTGTCTGATAAAGAACTCTTTGTTCTCATACTGTATAAAGTTGCTCTTGTTAGGTAAGTTAGCATTTTCCTCTTCACAGTAAAGACACTGCAAGGAAACAGTCTTTTTCACATACTTCTGAAAACTATATCACCATATTTTGGTTTTATACCAATAAAATATACTTGAAATCCCACTCATAGTCTATTGCTTTTGATGAGAGAATGAAGGATATAAACTTCTTTCTCAGTGAGAACCTGGAGCTGAGGGACTGAGAGAGATGTGAGAAAACACCAGTTTCCCTGAGCATCAAAGCTTGTGGAAATTCTGTGACGGACACCTGGATCTTCAGTTACTCACATGTGTGTATTTCTCAATACTCCTGTGTTGTGTGTTCTTAATGGTGGCGTGACCTTTGTTTGCCCTTTTCTCCTTACTGCTTGGAATATGGGCAGGTCATGAGTCACCCTGGACACTGCAGAGAAGTCAGTACCCCATTGTGGAGAGAACCACAGGAATCCTAGGTGTCTATACTTCTGTTTGTACTTTCCATAATGGTCCTATGCTGCCTGTTGCTAGAGTGTTCTACAGGGCAAAGTTAACATTGGATTTGCACCAGGTCTTTGTTGTAGGATATGCTTATAGGGAAACTGATAAGTGTCATTTCTGTAATGTTCAGTGGTTTGTACTAAAAGGACACTAGATAATTGTTAGGTAAAATCAAATACAACTATTAAATAATTGCTTGTTTGCCAAAAAAAAAAAAAAACCAACAATGCCTAGAAATGGCAACTGCTACAGATACTTAGAAGCATCACATTATTAAAAAGCTGACGTGAGCACACAGTGAAGGTTGTTTACACAGCTACCTTCTCAATCAAGGCTCAGATGATCCACCAGCAAGGCTTTGAAAGCACTGATTTCAAATGGAAATGTAGCTGGGGTGCTTGTTTGAAAAGGGTTACATTGAGAAATACATCTCTATTCCCTTGATCCAAGAAAAGGCAGGTGGGACCTTAGAATGGAGGTGCAGAAATGATCCAGCAGGCAGAATACTAGTGTGATGAGGGCCTTGTCCAGTAGGAGGCCTTACTACCTTAGTTTTCTCTATTTTGTTTAAACCTGGATCTTGATCTAGGAGGCCAGTAACAAGTTAGTGGTTTGTACTTCAAAATAAACATGCAAAGAATTAAGTAGAAATACTTTTAGAAATCTGAGCGCTTTCTAGACAACTGGAAAAAAAAGTGCTTTTGTCCTTTTATACCCACAAAGTTGGCTCAAATTAGCATCACTGTAAATTCAGTTTTTGATGGAAGCAGAAGACTACAAAACAATGAAAATGAAGGTGATTCACTGGATTTTTCAGTTGTTGACTGGGTATGAATTGGGTTAATGTTGGGTTGGAAATATTAAACAGGATTTTTACTATGGAGCCTACTATGCCTCATTAACAAGTAAATGTTATATGTATAGTTACTAAAGTTATTTTAGCATTGGCCCCTTTCAGAGGTGAACAGTGACCTGCCAGATGTGTTGTTTTTGTTGTGGATATGTCACTTCTGTCCTGTGCCACATCTTGAGGTCAGTTTCTAGAACATGTGTTGGTATAAAGTAAGAAACACCTGGCAGAAATCATCAGTAAAGTCATGGGCATTTTGGAGAGTGTGGAATACTTTCGTTTAAGTAAGTTTTTGTACTATTTTTTTGCTCAGGTCAGTAACAGACACAAACAGCATGATGGTGTTGGTTTTAATAGTTAATGATTAGACTGAAAAACTATTTGAGACCATTGTTTTAACATATTTCTTACTGTTCAGGGTTTAGTTACCCTGCATTTTACTCAGTAAACATATGTAGTCCACAGTCTCCCAATACTAGGAATTACAGGAGTGAAGCACACTGACCATAGAGACATCAGCAAAAAAATAAAATAAAAATAAAAATAAAAAATAAACTCCTAGCTCTATTCCTTAACAGAGACAGCACAAGTACAAGCCAGCTGTGGAGCCAGTTTTGTCGGAACTCTAGGAAACAGGTACATCCAACAAAAGGAAAGCCTAATCAAGAAAATCCATCTTCAAAATGGTAGCTAGGTTCTGTGATATTTTCAGCCCCTCCTCTCCCTTGTAACTGTGATTCTTAAGCCTGCAGAAGCCCAGTTCTCATTCATAAACTGGATGACATGGAAGTGACCCTATCTGTAGGTTTGAATGTGTCTGTAGCCCGTTTAGATAGTACCTGAGGTGCTAATACAAGGTGCTTGGTTGGTTGGATTTCTTTGGATTTGGTGGGCACTGCTTGTAAAAGGTTGCAAGGATCCACAAATGCCAGAGTCAAGAGATGGGTGGAGACATAAAGTTGCCCCCCTTAAGGAGAAATACTGAGAAGTTAGAATGTTCCAAAGCAACCACATGTACAGAGGATTGGCATCACTTGTTCTAAAGACCTAACACCCTGACCTTTCAACTGTGTCTGCTCCCTAAGCTCAGTGAATAACTGCATGTCAAAGGAAACTGTCCTAAAGGGGGATTGCTGTGTAAATAAAAATTGGGGTGGGGGAGTGTAAATGAAGGATCACACAAAAAGAGGGTACTTCTGTAGAAGGTTTGGGAGAGTGAACGCAAGTGGATGATATCTTTTGTTAAAAAAAAAAAATCAGCAAACCTTGAGATAGAGTGGGGTGGGGTAGGGGCTGATATTGTTAAAATAATGACATACCCAAAATGCAAAGTAACAGGCACTCAGAGGAACAGAGAAACAAGGTCCATTCAAAGAAAGATAAATGCTAGCAAAATGGCTCAGCAGGTAAAGGTGCTTGCCTCCAACACTGACAACCTGAGTTTGATGTCCATGACACACGTAATGGAAGAAGAGAACTGACTGATGAAGGTTGTCCTTTGACTCCCACACGCTGGTGCATGCATTTGAGTTTGAACACAGACAACTGAAAAGCTAGATAAGATGGTGCATTCTTTAATGAAGTCCAACGTTAAACGTCTTAGAGACTTCAGTATGCTCACAGGAGCTACAAGAAGGTGATAAGGGACAGAATCAGTGTCCACTAAGAACGGAATTATGAAAAGCCACCCCCCCAAAAAAAAATAACCTCACCAGAGACTTTGAGAGGCTGATGGGGACAGAAGGAACAATGAGGAAGAAAGCTGGAATAAGAAGAGTATATACACATGAATCCAGCATGGAGGATTTGTGAGACAGACAGACAAACCACTGCACAGTGGAGCACTTTTGTTTTCAAGGAAAAACAGGAAAGCCATTTGGTAAAAATCATTTTTTTGTAATTGAAAAAAAAAAAAAAACTAGAAGTAGAGGGGAACTACGTCAACATAAAATCCACCATGAGAAGACCCATGGCGAACTTCTATCTAGTGGGGAAGTGTCTCTTCTAGGATGGGAAGAAGGGTGCTTGCTTGCACCATTGCTAGTCAACATGGACTGGCTGGCACAGCTAAACAAGTGAAAGAAAGACATCAAACTGGAAAAAGGTAAAATTATCTGTTCACAGATTATATGATCTTACATGCAGGAAACTAAAGATCCCACAGAAGACTGTAAGAACCAAAAAACTACTCTTAGTAGCAGGACACAAGGTCAACCCAGGAAACCAGCAAGATTTCTATACTTGAACAACGAGCAGTTCTTTTTACAACAGCATCAAGAAAAGTCAAATACTGGGAAATTAACCAGAGGTGGGAACTGCCGAAGAAATGAGGAACACATCCGTGTTGATGGGCTGGGAATTTTAGAAGGTTGGCACTACCCAAGGTGATCTGCAGAGTTGGTGTAATCCCTATCTAAACCACGACCTCAGTCCTAGTTTTGTTTGTCCAGACCAAAAAACAAAACAAAACAAAACAAAAAAAACGCCCTAAAGTTCAGATACATTCTCAAGGGATGAGGAATAGTCAAATCTTGAATAATAAAGTAGGATGAGTCATCTGATTCCAGAACAGAATGATTCTAGCATCAAGATAAATGGATGGACCAGAAAGCCATAGGAAAGGGACATCTATATCAATGATTTTTGACAAAAGGACCAAGATTATTTTCAATAAGGAAGAGATATCATCTTCCAGAAAACAGTGCTGGAGCTAGGACCTTAAGTAATGCCGTATATTAAAATTAACTCTGTAGGGGACACATTAACCACGCCTCCTCGGGGCTGGCTACAGGTTACCTGGCCACGCCCCCTAGGGTGTGGCCAGGGTGATGTGAGTGAGGGGTAAGAGTGAGGGACTACACATTGTGGCCCCTTCTTTCCTCCCTTGACTTGCTCTACTTCCTTCGTTCCCTGCCAGCTGGCTAGGTTGCTCCGTAACTAAGGCATCTCCCTAATAAATATACCCTAATATATTCACCTGACTCTGTATTGGTAATCCACTCATTATAACTCAAAATAGATTAAAAAAAAAACTTTAGTAGCTAAAAAAATACTACTCTTGGAAGAAAGCAGTAGAAAACATCAGGATAATGAAGTTTACAGTGATTTTGTGTTGTTACCACATTTTCAGGGACCAAAAAATAAACCTAACCAGGCTAGTCAGAAATTAAAATTTTAGCCGAGTGTTGGTGGTGCACACCTTTAATTCCAGCACTTGGGAGGCAGAGGCAGAGGATCTCTGAGTTCTGAGACCAGCCTGGTCTACAAGAGCAAGTTCCAGGACAGGCTCCAAAGCCACAGAGAAGAAACCCTGTCTCGAAAAACCAAAAATAAATGAATAAATAAAATTAAAATTAAAATTTTGTGTGTGGCATGAAAATATATCATACTTAAAGAGCAAAAAAAAAAAAAAGGTCATATAAAGATTTGGAAAGTATATTTGCAGCCCACGATAAAGGACTTAGTGTCCAGAATACAGGTCCCCAAAGAAGATACATAAATGACTAAAAAACACAGGCCGGGTGGTCAACTTCACTGATGCACAGGGGAATGCAGGTTAAACTCCAGTGAGACATCACCCCATTAAGATGGTGGGTGTCTTCCTTCTCCCTGTCTCTATATTCCACTCTCCTCCTGGATACACAGTAACACAGATGCACAAGAAGTGTTAGACCCTGCACAGCTGGTGTAACTAATGTGGTGGATCTGTCAAAGAAGACAGTATGATCCTTGTCAAATTAAGCAAAAATTACAATTTGATACAGAAATTCTACTTGAAATGTAGTATTTTAAAATAAAAGCAGGGGTCTGGTGGTATATAGTGTAACATCACTGTTACAGAAAATAATAATAATCCAAATATCTTTGCATGGCATACAGAATGGAATATCTCCACACTGAGTAATGCTGAACTAAAGAATGGAATTTTGGTTTTAAGTGTGGATGAGCTTTGAAAAAACACTGAATGAAATTAGCCAGTTACAAAGGACAAGGAGTATGTACCTCCAGTTACTCTCTGTGGTGTTTGGGGGGTGAGGAGTTATAGAAAAGGGAACTTGGAGAAGTACAAAGATTCAGCGTGGGATGATAAGAATGTTCTGGGCATGATGGCGGTCATGTCCCTGCACAAACTGAATGCATTCCAATGCTGTTGAGTTTTACTCTTCAAAGTGGTTTAAAACACTAAGTCTCCTTGTGTAGATCAGGCTGGTCTTGAACTCACAGACATCCCCTAGTCTCTGCCTCCCAAGGGCTGGGATTAAAGGTGTGTATCACCACACCCAACTATCAGTAAATCTTAAAGGTTTGCAATTGAGCTGAAGTGCCCTGGAAGTCCTCCCTGAGGACTGGCTCTCTAGTAGTGAAGGTCCTAGGCCAGCTGCCTAGGGAGAAAGGCAGTCAATGATCATATCCATCTTAGCACATATGAACAACGAGCAGAATGGAGATATTTGAAAGGTGCAATGGCAGCATTTAAATCCCAGGAACAGTCATTTAATTGGAATTAAGGCTTGCTCAACAGGGGACTGATGCCTGGCACTGCAAACCTAGCCCACACCCTGTGGCTGATGAACCATGAGCCCTAGAAGAGGGCCTTCTACTGCCATCTCACAAGACCAGTATCATTTCTAACTGCATTCTAAATATTTATACTTGCCAATAAATGCCACTCATCATCAAAAAGCTTTTTACAGTAGATGGAGATCATTACAGGAATCCACAGAGTGGTCAAAATGCAGAGAACCACTGTGTGACCAACCCAACCCATTCACCTAAGGCTCAGGGAACATGGAGGAAGATGAGGAGGAAAGAACCCAAGACCGGGAATGGGACATCTGCTTTGAGATAGTGTCTTCTATATGTGACAGGAAAGTGCACCCAAGAAACCTCAACAATATGATTGATTAAACAAGACCTTAAGATGGCACTACCACTCGAGATGGCAGTGTGGATGGGGAAATTCTTAAAAAACCTTTACTCCTAGAAGAGATACAAGCAATTATTGGTTGCTGAGAGAGAATCTGTTTTCTCCAGGCTAGCCAATCCCAAGAGGTCATCCCTAAGCATATATAAGCAACACAAAGTGACCTTGGCACGTTGTATTTATAACTGTGTATGTATGTCTGTGTGTATGGTTATATATTCATATGTGCATGTGTGTATTTATACATTTACATATATACATGTGTGTATACATACATGTGTTTACACACACACACACACACTTGGTAACCTGTAATGGTGGATACACAATAGGCATTTGGCAAAAATGCATAAAAAAACAACAACAAAAAGGAGCTTTAACCTTTGGGCTTGAGCTAATCCTAAAGCATCGATGTGCCCTGCTAGGGCAAAGCATTTACTAAAGGAGCTGAGTGGGAGGGGTGGGTATAAACTACACTGTCTGCTCAGATTTCTTGAGCAAGCCTCCCCTTACTATAGAGTCACAGCTTAAGAAACCTTTTAGAAGCTGAGAATATTCATGAATCAAAAGACATTTAATGCACACTTCAATAAATTTGTTAGAATCACCTAACAAACCTTCGTAGCTTAGCCATGCAAACCATGACATCCACCACTGTCCTGATGGTAGGCTGAAAGGAAGCATGAGATAAGTTTGCTGCTGATGGCCAGTACCCAATGAGGAGATCTTATCATGTATTTTGAGTTTGGGAAAAGATAAAAATTCAGTTTCTATTGAATGAGTACCAGCTACACACTAATGTGGCAGAGTTGCTAGTGGGGCCACCGTTGAGTCAAACTGTCTAAGCTGGGGGCTTAGAACACCAACAGTGAAGTGAGGTGTTCTATTTTATTTTTTCAAGACAGGGTTTCTCTGTGTAACAGCCCTGGTGGTCCTGGAACTCACTTTGTAGACCAGGCTGACCTCAAATTCTGGGGGGGAGGTGTTTTTATGATGCTCTAAATCAGTACTCCTTTCACTAAATAAACTTTCATCTTTTATCTTTCTTTAGACATTGCTCAGGATTTTGGCCATTTTGATTGCCAAATCAAAATGATTGATAAATTATGTTGGGCCTCCACACCTTGCATAGTGTGTTGCTTCCTCTCCCCTAAACAGGCTACCTTGGGTAGACATACCGCTTACCAAGCCTATGTCTAAGGAAAGGAGAATTAAGGTGTTACCGTCTCGCACCGTGTGGTTCCCTTTCTGCCTCTGTGAGGTAACCGAAATAGTGACCTTCACTGGGTGTGTCTTCAGTGATCTCTGTGACCTGTAGAGAGTAAGATTGTACTTGTACACTCGATTTTCTGCATACTCATACCCAACCACCCTCTTATCTGCATGCACAAATCGGTGCACCTATTCCGCTTGTGGCAGAAGACTTGAGGTGAACTTACCTCAGACATCCACACCTGCAGCACCTGTTCACAGTGTGTCAGCATCCCCATGGTAGTCTCTCAAGTGCACGTCCCTGCCTCCCTGCACTCTTTCTGCTGCCTGAGGTTCTAACAAGCTTAGTGATTGGTCTAAAATAGTCACAATTACAAAGGCCTAGGGTTGGAGAGTACCAGAGCGAGTCACTGATAGCAAAGACAGAAGCAGACACCAAACATGGCAGAAATATGAAACGCAAGGATGGAAAAGGCCTGGGCACAAAGCTGCTCTGACCAGCAATCCCCAGGACCTGTGGAAGGCCATGTGCAATAGGGAACGTGGGTGAGGGGGCCAGCAACACAGCCCAGCCATGCAAGGAGCAGAACTGACTCCATACTAGTGTCCTGTGACCTCTGCACACACACCCCCCACTCCTAAAAATGAAAGGAAGAAAGGCACAGGTTGGGAAGCCAGACACATCTGGGCTTAAATTCTTGCTCTACTAGTGTCTAGATGCAAAAGCTTGACCTCTGAGCCTCCATTTTCCTCTGTATACAAAGTACCACCCACTTCAGACTCTTGGAAGTTGATACATCTGAAACACAGGAGCTCATGATTAAGTCATGGGTGTCAGGGACATGAACAATGACATGTGCTGGGACATGAAGCTCTGGGTTTTCTAACCAAACTAGTAAGGAGGGTCCCCAAGAGGTCTGCATCCCAAAATACACCCATTCTGGTCCCCTACAGACTGAATCAAGGCTTTAAGGGTGGGTGTCCTTCATCACTGTGGTTTTGTTTTTTGTTTTTTGTTTTTTTTTTTTTCGAGACAGGGTTTCTCTGTGGCTTTGAAGGCTGTCCTGGAACTAGCTCTTATAGACCAGGGTGGTCTCGAACTCATAGAGATCCACCTGCCTCTGCCTCCCGAGTGCTGGGATTAAAGGTGTACGCCACCAACGCCCGGCTTCACTGTGGTTGAATATGTCCTCTGACCTTTATAATTTTCACAGCACAGGTCTGAGCTGAGGCTGTTGAGCATGTCTTACTGTCTATAATGGGCTCATCTCAGAGTCCAGCCTTTTTCTCACCACACAGACTTCATCTCTTTTGCTGTATTATAGCCTTAGAACTAATGTCATTTGGCCTCAGAGAAGCATCTGGTCAGATAAGTTAATTTTGTAAACTAACCCAGTACTCATCCTACCTTGACTTTTGGTTGTTGTTATAGTCTTTTTTTCTTCCATTAAAATTATTAATTTTGGGCTAGAAAGATGGCTCAGTGGTTAAGAGCACTGGCTGCTCTTCCAGAGGACTCATGTTCAATTCCCAGCACCCACAACGGCAGCTCTCACCTGTCTATTAATTCCAGTTCCAGGGGATCCGATGCTCTCACCCAGACATACATGCAGAGCGCTGTTTCCCCACACCACCCTTCTGGATTGGCCTGTTTGTGTTAACTTTCCAAGCTAAGAGCACAATGATAAACCCCTGGAGTTTTCTTTGAGGACTTTGACTGGTCGGGTCACCATCAAGTACTTTACCAAAGAGTGTGACTCCAGACATCACTCCAGAGTAAGCCAAGACCAATCAACCATCAAACCACTAAGGAGAGCTGCCACCAAGTGACACAGTAAGGAATATATTCTCTTATGTCTTGAAACTGATCATGTTAAACACATGGAAGCTCAATGCATCATCTGAAAACATCATTAATGTGTCCTTCTAAATGGTTGACTTCATTGTGAAATATGTCAAGTTCAGTGACTTTATGTAAAATTACATAATAGGAATGACCATCATCTCTACACATTAAACAACTCTCTCCACAGTCCCTCGTAACCACAGTTACAGTTTCTGTCTCAGGGGGTCTGACTGCTCTAGCATCTCATCTTAGTGAGTTACACATTGCTTGCTTTGGTGACTGGCTTTTCACTTAGCGTAATGTCTTCAGAGTTCGTCCATATTTCAGTATTAGAATTACATTCCCTTTCGAGGCTAAGTAAATGCTCCAATTATGTGCCATCCACTTACATTTTATACATGCATGTATCACCGGACATCTGAGTGGTTTTCCACCTTTTGGCTATTGCTAATTCGACTCCTATGAATGTGAATGTGAGTGTGCAGATATTTGCTTGTGCGCGTAACCCCCATTAGTCAACTGTTGGATAAAATGGTGATTCTGTGGCTTTGTGTTAAGATTTGTCATACCATTTATCAAGGTGACTATAACATTTTATATTCTTACCAGCAACACAGAAGGGTTCCAGTTTCTATGCATCCTTGCCAACACATGGTCTTTAAACAGCCACTGCCCTAATGTGTGAGGGGTCCACACTTCCCCTGCCCTTCTTTTTTTTTTTTTTTTTTTTGAGACAGTGTTTCTCTGTGGCTTTGGAGGCTGTCCTGGAAGTAGGTTTTGTAGACCAGGCTGCCCTAGAGCTCACAGATTTCCCCCTGCCTCTGCCTCCCAAGTGCTGGGATTAAAGGCGTGCGCCACCAACGCCTGGCTTTTACAGTTTTGGTTTTTTTTTTTTTTCACACTCCCCTTTTAATGACCCTAGAAGTCAGTGATGCTGAACACATCACACACTCTTGGAGAAATGTCTATTGAAATCCTCTGCCAATTTTCAAACTTGGCTGTTTTTATCTGTTATGGGTTATTTATTCAGGATTATTTCTTGCTATTAAGTTTCCATTAAAACAATAGGTTTCACCATGGCATTGATTATATATACATTTATATATATAATATATAATCAATCAATATTATACACACACACACACACACACACACATACGTATATACATCATTGCATGTTGCTTACATTTACCCCCCACTACCTTCGATGTCTTGCCACCCTGCCCTGTCCCACTCCCTCCTGCCTGTAGTGACATTAGTCACCTGAGCTCTGGCAGAGTAACTCCGTTTGTAGTAAGATACCATTTAAATGTTCTGCGTGTCTTTCTAGAATTGGTCAGTGTTTGCTGAGACCAGCAAAGCTCTGCAAGAAGAAAGGCAGCATCTACATGGGCGCTAAGCTTCTGAGATCTGCTTTGTCTGTGTGTTGGTGCCCGAGCCTGCAGTCACCTCTCCTGACTTAACACTAGGTAGCACTCTGAGCCCAGGTTTGTGACAGTTCTGCTGCCAACTGGGAACCATACAGAATTGGAGCTCCATGAGTGGGGCTTAGCTCTTTGGTGTGCTTGTGTCCCCTAGGCCCCTATATGTAACCCTAATGAACTCATTTATCATGCCAAGCTGAAAATGGCAGACTCTCTCTTAAATCTGTCTGCTCTTGTTTGAGGTAAACAGATGTTTCTTTACATTTTCCCAGGAAAGTCCCACGCCCCTCAAAAAGTCTCCTGTCTGTTTTCATGCACACATGTGTACATATGAAATGACTTCTCTATATTAAATCCGGGAGCTGCATGGGTTGAAAGCCTTTTATCCTGCTCTGTGGACTGACTCTTTGTAAATAGTGTCCTTTAATTTCATCAGCTTTTAGTTTTGATGAAGTCCAGTTTATCTAAATTTTTAATTGACTCTGTTTAGGTGTTATATACAAGAAATCATTGCCGAGTCCAACTTTGTAGAGCACTTCTCTGTTTTTTCTATGAGTCTTACAATTTTGGGTCTTATACAGTCTCATCCACTTTGAATTCATGTTGTATATAGCGGTAGTAGTGCAGTCTCGTTTTTCAGTACACACATACCCAGCTGGGCATTGTTAATTGAAAATCTGACTTCTAGCAAGTTTACTAAGATATAACCCACAACTTACAACATTCACCTTTATATAGTATTCACTGACTTAAAAAAAATTGCAGTCATACAGCCACAGCCATGACCCAGTTTTTAAACATAGCCATTATGTTGGAAATATTTTTCAGGGCTCTCTGCCATCATTACTTGTTCCAACCCCAAACCTCAGGAACTCACTCACCTATCTTAATATCTTTATATTAATGCACACAGGGCTTAATTCTGAAACTTCTACTACATAGCACAAGTGACTTTGGTCATGTGACAGTATGTGTAAGTATGCTGTGCTTGTACAGCTATGACTGCACATTTTACCGGCACAGCAACGGACTTTTGGGTGATTTCCACTCCCTGGTCACAGGGAAGAATGCTGTCGTGAGCATTTGGGACTGACTAGGAGGGAATTGCTGGGCCATACAAACTTGTTCCTTAAGAAACTGTCCACACCATTTCATAGTTACAACAATGAAATGTGCTTTCCCATACCCCACAGACTCTAAAAAGATCACAGCACAGTTAGTGTGTTAATTGTTACTTTTTTTTTTTTTTTAAGATTTATTTATTACGTATACAACATTCTGCCTGTGTGTATCCCTGCAAGCCAGAAGAGGGCACCAGATCTAATAGATGGTTGTGAGTCACCATGTGGTTGCTGGGAATTGAACTCAGGACCTCTCGAAGAGCAGTCAGTGCTTTTGAACCTGTGAGCCTGTGAGCCATCTCTCCAGCCTGTTAATTGTTATTTCATTTTGGCTTTTCAATCTTTTGGGGGGTGGGGTGGGATGGGGGGTTCGAGACAGGGTTTCTCTGTGGCTTTTGAGGGGCTTTTCAATCTTTTAATGGATTACAATGTCAAGTATTTTTCATATGCTTATTAGCCATTTGTGTCTTTTCTCTGGTAAAATGCCCACACTTTAGATCAGTTGTTTCCTGAGTTTGTCTCAACTTCAGTTAAACAGGTTCTCTCTCTCTCCTCTCTCTCTCTCTCTCTCTCTCTCTCTCTCTGTCTCTCTCTCTCTCTCTCTCTCACACACACACACACACACACACACACACACACACACACAGGCAGAGACAGAGACAGAGACAGAGAGACAGAGATTCACTGTGTAACAGCCCTGGCTATCCTGGAACTCACTCTGAAGATCAGGCTAATCTCGAACTTACAGAGATCCATCTGCCCTTCGTCCAGAGTGCTAGGATTAAAGGCGTGCACCACCAACGCTCAGTTAAGTTCTTGTATATTTTATGCCATCCATCATATCTTTGATTTGCAAGTATTTTCTCCTATTTGGTGCCTTGTATTTCATTTTTACAGTGGAATCATTTGAAGCATAGGGATTTGTCATTTGCACACAGTCCTGTATATCAGATATTTATCGATTTGCTTTTCATGTTCTATCTTTGCCTAATCTAATGGCATAAAGACTTTCTCCTAAGAGACTTATATTTTAGTTCTTACATTCACAAGCTTCTTGGGTTATTCTAGTATATGAACAAAATAAATTTATTTTCTTGCATGTGGGTATGGGATTGTCACTGGATCCTGTTAGACTGCTGTTTAGGAGTCCATGTCTAGAGCCCATATCCAGCTTCATGCCAGCACCATGTTGTCTGAATTACAGTAGTTTTACCATAAGCCAGAGGTCAGATAATGCAAGCCCTTCAATGTGCACTTTCTCCATTGCTTTCCTATTCCAGGCCTTCATATTCCCCAGAGGCATGTTACAGTCACCCTGTCAATTGTCACAAAAACACCTTCTGGGGTTTATTGGGATGGCATAAGTCTCTGGGCAATTTGAAGGGAACTGACATCTTAATATTATATTTTCCAAACCCTTCAACATAGCAATCCCTCTTAGTTGGGTCTCTCTTTTTTCTTAGCACAACTGCAGACTTCACTGTTTAGGTCTCTATTAGTGACTTTTCTATTGCTGTGATTAAAACACTTGGCCAAACTAACTCACAGAAGGAAGGGTTTATTTGGCTTATAGTTAGGATTTGTGTGGCTTATGGTCCCAGATGCCCCAAAACCTGTCACGGTGGGGAAGCATGATAGCGAGCTGCAGATATTGTCAGGAATACAGCTGAGAGCTCACATCTTGATCCACAAGCAGGAAGTGGAGAGCACACTGGGAATGGCCTGCATCTTTAAAAACCTCCAAGTCCCCTCGAAGTGCCGTCCCCCCTCCAACAAGGCCAACCCTCCGAATCCTTCCCAAACAGTTCCACCAACTTCCAACCAAGTGTCCAAACCATGAGCCTGTGGGGCCACTCTCATCCAGACCACCACAGCAGCTTTCACCACTTTTCACATTTCTTCACTACCCCTATGTACTTTGAGATGCTGTTACACATGGTGTGTTGTTTTAAAAGTTTCTGTATCTAGCAGTTTCTGATACATGGAAACATACTTTAGTTTTAATAGTAACACCCTCTCTTGCAACTACAAGCTGATCTCACATATCATACTCTAATGTTTCTAGATGAACTCATGTAGATTAGTTATTTCTTCATTGGAAGTTTGACATAAGTTCAGCTCTCCGGTCTTGGACTGTCACTGAAGAAAAACTTCTATACAAATTCAATCAATGGATATGGAACTATTTGAACTACCAAAAGAAAAAAAAAGGAGAGAGACTTTTAACTTTCTATTTTACTCTTCAGATTTTGTTTTGTTTTGTGTTTTTTTTTTTTGAAACAGGGTCCCATGTAGCCCAGGCTGACCTCACTGTAGCTGAGGATTTTTTTGAACTTTTGATCTTCCTGTCTATATTTCTTCCTAAGTGTTGGAATTACAGCACATAAATGTTCCTGGATTCATGCAGTGTTGAGGGCAGAACCAGGTCATCTTGCACTCTAGGCAGGCAACTCTACCCATGACTGCATCCCCAGCCCTTAAATTACCTCTTTCTTCAGTAGTTTTGGTTCTTCAAAGTTGTCTATTTAATCTAAATTATGCCAAATCTCCTACCACCCCATTTGCCATATTGGTAGGAATGGCATCTAATTTTGTTGTTGTTGTTGTTGTTGTTGTTATTACTCCTCCTTGATCACCAGTATTTTTTAAGATAGGGTCTTCCCGCTGAGCCTGAATCTTATTGGTGCAGAGAGATTATGTGGCCAGCAAACCCCACAGGTCCTCCTGTTTCTGCTTTTCCTGCAGTAGGATTATAGGAGCATGCCCAGTTTTGTTTTGTTTTGTTTTTTTTAAGATTTATTTTACTCTCTGTGTGTTTGTGTGTGTGTGCAGATGTGCACATAGATGAAAATGCATGCTGAGACCAGAGGTCAATTGTTGCTTCACAGTTTGTCCATTTTTCATTGTTTTTAAGAACGAGGAAGGAAATCCAGTGCTTGCTGTTCTAGTTCAGCCGGAAACCTCAAGATAGCTTAAAAACACTGATTTGTCCACAGTTCCCCCAAAGACTCTCTCACTCCTAAGTTAACTCTCTGCCTGCCTTCCCAGCACAGCCCACCTCAGAATGCTTCTGGAACCCTGTTCCTCAGATCTGCTGTAGCACATTACAGCTGATGGCATCATTTCAAGGGTTAAAATTCACATAATTTCACATATTTATTTTGGGAAAAATACTATGTCTGTCACATTACTAATAAATTTATCCTCATGTGCAAAATTAATTATTAACACAAAATCTGCCAAAAAATTCTTAGGGTCACCCTGATTGAATGACTGTGAACACAAATCCACACACAGAACAAGGATCTCACCCACCCCTCCCGACATTCCATTCTGAGTGTACTCACTGTGGTGGGCACTGGTACTGCTCCTCTCCACCAGGCTGATCTCACACTGGACAGAACTGGCCCTCTGAAGGTGGCCCTTCCTGACATCAAAGAGGAAATACAGATGGAAATTAAGCTTGAATATTTGGAAGCTCATTCACTTTCTAGAATTACCTAAAATTGCAGGGCTAATCTAATGTACCCACATTTAACCAACCCACCAGAGAGGCAATGGAGACACCCAGGGTGCTGCTGAGCCTACAGTCTGGCCCAGATACTGTGCCACAGGTATTTCTGTAACAGAGATCACATCCCATCATTGTGGACCCTTTATGTACCATGGGTGGCTTCAGTGGACAATTCCAATTCATGACATTAAAATACCATTTCTTTGGGTCTTCTGATTATAGCCTTATATAGAACTGCTTTAAATATTAAATGAAAATTGAAATGTAAAGGTGTATTATTCTTTTTCAATACACCAATCTCAGTGCAATAACTTCCATTAGTGGAAATGAATCTGTATCATCTAGCCATAGCAACATGACGTTTTCTAAAAGCACATTGGCCTCCACCCTAAAATGACATTTCTAGCAGACGTTTTAGCATTGAGGGTGGGGGGTATTTTGGACCTCATTCAAGTATGATCATTTTCTAAGTCACAGAAAATCCAAAAGGCCCTCAGGTTAAAGCACTTTCAACCACCAGTGGGTTCTGTTAAAGAATTATTTGTTTTCATTATTCTTTAATTTATTAAATATTTCCCCCTCCTTTTCTTTTCCTTCTTCTCTGTCATTGTGAGTATTGTTGGGTATTTTTGCTTTTTTACTCTTTATTCTTTTGACTTTTTTGAGGGACCCACCACCCAGCTCCCAAATAAATCACACCACAGAGGCTTATTATTAGTTGTGATTGCCTGGCCTTAGCTTGGCTTGTTTCTTGCCAGCTTTTCTTAAATTATCCCATCTACCTTTTCCCTCTGGGCTTTTATCTTTCTCCTGCATATCTTTCTTTCCTTGTTATTCCATGGCTATCTGGGTGGCTGGGTGACTAGTCCCTGATGTCCTCCTCTCCTTGTTTTCTTGCTTCTCTCTCCTTCCTCCATTCTCCTTCTATTTACACTCTCTGCCTGCCAGCCCCGCCTATCCTTGCTCCTGCCTTGCTATTGGCCATTCAGCTCTTTATTAGACCATCAGGTGTTTTAGACTGGCAAAGAATCACAGCTTCAGTGAGTTAAACAAATGCAGCATAAACAAAAGTCACACACCTTAAAATAATATCCTACCTCACTCATGTGTGTGTAGTGGGTGCATGTGTGTTTATATGTTGTGTGTATATATGTGCATGTGTGCATTTATGTATACTTATGAGTATGTATATGTATGTGTGTGTGCATGTGTGTATATGTCTATTTAAGTGAGTGCATGTGTGTTTATGTGTGTGTATATGTGTATGTATTTGTATATGTGTGTGTTTGTATGTGTTGTGCATATTTACCCATGTAGAGACCTGAGGAGGAGGCTAGGCGTCTTTCTCTTTCATTCTGGGCCTTACTCCCTTGAGACAGGGTCTCTCACTGAACCCAAAGCTCACCATTTCAGCTAGGTTAGCTGGTTAGTAAGCTGTACCCACCTGTCTTCACCCGACCCCAAACACTGGAGTTATGGGCACATGCAGCAATGTCCAGATTTTATATGGGTGTTGGCGATTCAAATTCACACCCTCATGTTTGCACAGTAAGTGCTCTTACTGAGCCATCTTTCCAGACACCCCCTTTTTTATTTTTGGTGACAGGGTTTCATTTTGTATGCCAGGTAGGTCTAGAACTCAGCAATCTTCCTGTCTGTCTATGTCTTCCAAGTTCTGGGGTCACAGGGACACACTACTATCCTCCCAATTGCTGGGGTCACAGGGACACACTACCATTTCTGGCTTAGTTTCACTCTTGAACATTTCTAAGCCCAGAAACACTGCATAAACTCAGTAGACAACAGCACGAAGCCTAGGTCTAGATCTCACGAGCAATAATGACAGGATTGATTCTCTCCATGTGGTTAGGACATGTGTAACTTCTGCTCAAGTTGTCATCAAAAATGGAAAAAGAGCTGAGGAGATGGCTCACTTGGCAAAGTACTTGCCTTGTGAGCGTGAGGAAGCCCAGAACTGAATGCATAACAGTTGAGTGTGGTGCTGTGCCCTTGCTAGTCAAGCATTGGGGAGGCAAGACAGGTGGATCTCTGGGGCCCTAGGCTAGACAGTCTAGCCCACTCGGTGAGTTCCAGGCCAAGCAAGGTCAACAACACTTGGAAAATGACAGCTATACACACATGTGCACATATACTCGCACACACATGGACACATACAAAAGAAAACGTGATTTCAAGCACATTTCTGTCTGACCTGAAAATTATTTCTGACATGTTATTTTTATAAGACAGATGCTATTTTTAAATTAAATTTGTATCCATTTTCTAAATATTCAGGCTTCCAGTGTCTAGCTTTTATGACTTTTATAAAATCAAACATCTACTAGAAGGTTGAACAACAGCGCTCATGGGCAGTTCAAGCGTCGTCACTCAGCTGGGGTAGAAGCACACACCTCCACCGCAGCATCTTTGAGGTGGAGGTGGGGGATGTGCGCAGTCAAGATCATTTTTGGCTGCATAGATTGTCCGCTCTTAAAAACACATAGGACTATAGCTTTATTGTTGAAACTTATACACTGGTTCTTCACTCTTCCTTCTTGTGTCTCACACACACACCCTGGAGAGTCCACTCCCCTCCAGCCCTTGGGAAGAAGGTTCACTTCGAAATAACTCTAAGGTCTGCACATCTACAATTATCTTCCTTTCTCCCTCGTTCTTGAAAGTTGTTTTCACTGCTACAGAGGTCAGGGGCTGCTGGTCATCTGCTCTCAGCACACTGAAAACATTGCTGGTGCCTCGCCTCTGCCCCATGCCTCCTGCCTACTGCTGTCTGTTCTACTTTAGTGTCCTTGCTTTAGATTGGGGTATTGTGCTTTTATGAGGCTGTGCTATGCACGTGTGTTTTTCTTTAACATGCTTGACATTTGCTGAGTCTGTGGGTAACTTACAAATTCTGAATGTCTCAGCTACTACCCTCTTCAAACACTGCCCCCAATCTTTTTTTTCCCAAACTCCAGGAAAAAAAAATGAGTCAGAAATAGTCACTCTGTTTGCCATGTTTCTTGACCTTTCCTTAATTATTTTACAATTCTTTTTTTTCTAGGTTTGGGGTGCCTTTTCATTCATTCATCTCTCTTCCAGTGTTTTTCATTTAGTCTCTCCCTATTTCCTTCATCCCTTCTCTTACTGTTTCTAGTCTGCTTAAAAACACAAACTAAACTTAAAAAACATTGAACTAAAATATATTGAACTTTTTAAGGTCAATTTTATTTTTTTTCAATTTCTGTAACTGGCCTTTGCAAAAATCTGCTCTTTTGTAAATATATCATTTATTTTTTAAAATTTTATATTTACATTTTATTTTTGTGTATGAGAAGTTTTGCCTACATGTATGTATATGTACCACGTACATGCCTGGTATCCCAGGAGTTCGGAAGAGGGGTCAGATGCCCTGTAACTAGAGATATAGATGGTTGTGAGCCATCACGTGGATGCTGAGAATCAACCCAGCTCCTCTGTAAGAGCAACAAGTACTCTTAACCACTGAGCCATCCCTTCAGCTCCCATTTATTTTTCATACATATTAAACATACTTGTTTTATATCGTGGGTTTGATTCTCCCCATAAAAGAATATTTTGAATACCTGGTTCCACTCCCAGTTGTAGCATGAAATTTGGAGGTTACATTTAAGCCATAGCAAACTCATAGTTACTACAGCCAAATCTAGATTGTCAGGGTTAATATTACATAAAGTTGTTCAATAAACAATCAATATCAAAGGGACATTCTATTTCCAAATCATTAGTACAGTGAATAAAGAGGGAATTAATCAGTGTGCCTTCTCCTTAGCATACTATATTGGAAGATGTATTTAGAATCAGAAGAGATCATTATCCAGTTTTCCCAAGATTAGTTCTAATTAGTGGTGCTCCTGTTATCTCATGTCAGTGAGTAATCTTACACTGTGAGATGCCCTTTAAGGCAAAGAATGATAGTGGCTTCTTCAAGAACTGAATTGTATTTGTTTTTGTCAATCAGTTGAGAGTATTTGCAATCTGGACTACTTTATACACTTAACCTTTCCCCCACTAGACATTAGAAATACCATGGGATCAGAATGAAAATCCACTTAACATTTGTGATTAGAGGTTTCTTCTTTTCTTTTTGTCTTTGTTTTTTTGAGGCAGGGACTCTCTAAGCAGTCGAGGCTAGGCTTGGACCACTGGCATGTGCTACCACTTCTGGCTTTAGAGGTTTCTTTTTCAATGAACACCAACTTTCTTTGTAATTTTCTGTTCCTCATACCTACATGCCTATACTTTCTACCCTAAATATCAGGCTTTGGGGGCTTCTTTTTGAGGCAGGGTTTCCCCTGGTATCCAGGCTTGCCAGGAACTCACAGCAATCCTGCATCAGTCTCTCAAGTGTTAGGATTATAGGTGTAAGTCACTGTGCCTGGGCAAAAATTATCACTTAGCATGGTATAGGGAACTTAAGATTAGAATTTTCTTTTTGTGCCAGGGTCTCACCTATAAACTAGGCTGGCCTTGAACGTATAGCAAGAAGCAAGAGCTGCCTTACAAGAGCTGCCTTACAAGAGCTGGAATTAGAAACATAAACTACCTCATCTAGCTTTAGATCAGAATATTTCTGAATTCTGCCTCCAGTATGCAGAGTAACAAATTCAAAGGTTAGTAAAGGAATCCAGTTGCAACAACTGTAACAATATTTAAAGTTCTATAGATTAAAAAATACACACCCAACACCAGGCGTTAGTGGTGCACGCCTTTAATCCCAGCACTCGGGAGGCAGAGGCAGGCAGATCTCTGAGTTCGAGCCCAGCCTGGTCTCCAGAGCGAGTGCCAGGATAGGCTCCAAAGCTACACAGAGAAACCCTGTCTCGAACCCCTACCCCCCCCAAAAAAATATGCACACAAGTCACTCAGCAAGTTCCAGTGGAACATTAGATCCCCTTATGAATCCTTTAGTTATTATGTGAGACCTGTGTCTGGCTTTCTACCTTACAATACATGGGTAAGCTGCATTTACTAACACTTTTTGTAATTGTGAGAGGTATTCTGTCAGAGTGTCTGTGTCACTTCTGTGTCATTTTGTGTGGGAGGCACTCTGAAACTTGCCTTCACTCTGGCAATGCAACCAACAGCACTTGTGGTGGCTCTTCTGTAGTTTGAGTTCTCATGACTATGTTTAGCCACAAACATATCCTCCTATCCATGTGCTAGACCACAATGATTATATACTATGAATAAGAACACTTCTATTTTTAATCCATTGAACTGTTAGGGTTGCATCAATCTTTTCCTGTTGCTATACAAATACCATTGACCGGGTAATTTATAAAGAACAGATGTTCATTTAATTCATTGTTCCAGGTGCTAAGATATCTAAGAGCATGGCATTGACAACTGTTTATCCAGTAAGGACCATCTAACTGGGCCACGTCATGGCACTGGGTATCACATTTGTGCGACTGGGCCAGCAAGTGAGGCAGAGCGCATCTTAACAGCAAAGTCCTCCAATGACAAGTCCTTCCTCTTCCATTATGCATTAAAGAACTCATCCATTCATTCTACAGAGCTCCCACGGCCCAGTCATCACCCAAAGGGCCAACATTTCAAACACCATTAACATAGGGCTTTGGGGAACTTGTGAAATTTTAAGAACAAATCCAAGCCATAGTCAGTTGACAGCTACTACAGTCAAAGCTAGATTGCCAGAGGTCTCATTAGCTCAATAACCAATCAATAGAAGATGAAAATCTATTTCTAAGTCAACACTGGAGAGAATAATGAGAAATTAGTATTAGTCAAGCTGATCTTTTGATGTATTTTGCTGGGAAGCATAAAGGGATAGAATAAGAATAGATCATTATTCAGTTTCCCCAAAATGTGTACATTTAGAGTGAATTCCCAAGATGACTCATCTGCTACTTCATAACATGCTACTTTAAACTCAGTAGATTAAATTTCTCTCTCATTCTTCTATTGGTTGACCTCTGTGTGTTTGCAGGTAACCTGTAGATAGTACAAGCCAACTGAGTTCCAACAAGCAGGGCATGTAGGGAGCCTCGTTCAAATGGCTAGCAGTTACTGCTGGCTGAGTCCAACAGGGGCTCTTTCTTTTCTCTGCTTAGGTTTCTAATAAGATATTGGCTGATTCTAAGATGAAGCTTTTAGTCCATTTAAAGGCTGCGTTCTTAATTGTAACATTTACCCAATATTCATGGCTAAAGCAATCATAGTGCCTGCTAAAGAAATAAACTCTAGCCAGGTGGTGGTGGCAGAAGCTCACACCTTTAATCCCAGCACTGGGGAGGCAGAGGTAGGTGGATCTCTGTGATTTCGAGGTCAGCCTGGTCTACAAGAGTGAGTTCCAGGACAGCCAGGGATGTTACACAGAGGAACCCTGTCTCAAAACAAAACAAAACAAAACAAAACAAAACAAAGAAATACACTCTACTTCTTATCACAGTTCAATAGCTTGAACCCAGAACCTTATGCCTGCCAGACAAACACACTATGGCTGAGCTACACAGCCCCAGCCCTAAACTCTAACTCTTGCTGGTTGAGTGGCAAGGTCACACTGAGGAAGGGCACATGCAAATGGCAGATCACACGGAAAACACAATCTGATGGAATGGGTTTGTGAATTTTTGTATCTGAAGAACTCAGATACAAAGATTATGAGTTAAGATCTACTGGGTTGCCTAAATGATGCTTTGAAATAAAACACATAATAATGCACATATAAAAAGAGCAGAGCCCCTCCAAATTTTAATCAGGGTTTATGAAACTTTATGTCATCTACATGATATTCTTAGAATATTAACTTCTCAAGCCAACTCTGATTGTTTTATGATGACCAAAAGCTCCATTTTCATAACCATCTGAGTATAACCAGTTTATGCTCAATACTTATTAATATGAAATAACTAATAAACTTAATTTTATATTCACTTTAAACGTAAATTTCAGTAAACATTGAAAAGCAATAAAAAAATCAATGCAAGTAATCTTTGATGTATATAGCCTTACCAAATGTAAGTTTTTCTCTTGTTTTTCTTGGAAGTCACCAGTTTTTGCAGTTTAACTTTCTGCTTCTCTGTCTCTCTAGATTTAAACAGGGAACATTTCTACCTTGCTGGCCACTCTGTTCATTATGGCTGGCACATAACAGATGCTAAAGAAAAGGCTGACACCAGAAATCAGCCATGTGCCTTAAGCCTCTAAAGCACAGCATGAGTCACTTTGCCTTTAATATTCAAAACTTATTTTAAAAAGACTTGTGTGATGTAAGCATGAATACTGTAGCAAGGATGTGTCCACCTAGCTTAGAGGCATCACAGCAAGTGATGACATCAGTGACAAGGAACCAGTTGAGTTGCTTAAGATGCTTTTAAAGTGACTTATTAGTTTGTAACAAAATTGTATTAGAGAGATAATACCAGACATAAAACAGTATCTGGAGAAACATCTAGAAGTAAAGTGGATGCTAGTTACTTAGAGGCCACTGCCTTGTGCATTGCTGTCTTCTTTCTGAGGGTCTGTTTCCACTTCAGTTACCTGCATAGGAAGCAGAGTGCTGCAATGGCGAGCGTGACTAGGATCACCAGGGCCAGGAAAGCTGCCGACAGGTTACTTTTGCTTTGGATGCTGGCACTTGGGAGAAAAACCTCTTCGCAACGAGCTCCTGTATAATTCTCAATGCACCTATAGGATAAAAGTTCAGATAAAGATAGAATCACTCCGGACACAGATGTGGACAACACAAGGTCCCCAGCTAGAATGAACAGAAAGGCCTCCACTTTTCAGATTGTGAATGTGGAGTAAACAGGCTTGAAGTGAAGCTCACAGAGCCATAGGTACAGACAAATGCATTATCTTATACTTGCTCCCTTCCTTTTACAGTTCTTCAGCAGCTTAGACTCTAGAGGAATTGGGTAGTATTCAGATTCCATGTGGGAGCAGGTTGGGCTTCTCTTCCTGCCACCTTTTGTTTTTTTGAGAGAGAGAGTTGCTCTGTGTAGCTTTGGAGCTTGTCCTGGAACTTTCTCTGTAGTCCAGACTGGCCTAGAACTCACGGAGATCCCCCTGCCTCTGCCTCCCAAGTGCTAGGATTAAAGGCATGCACCACCACTGCCTGACTTCCTGACAACTTTTTTCACAGATGTGTCTTGCAATATTCTAGTTGTCCTCAACCTCCTGGCTCAAGTGATTCCCTTGCCTCAGCTTTCCAAGTATCTAGGACTCAGGTGCATGCAACCAGGGCTTTAAAGTCTGCATTTTCAATGTGGTAACTCTGCATATAACTCAAATTCATCTACAGCTTATTATATTTTACATAGATGCATAAATAAATGCAACTTTTCCTCAAAATTACTGTTTCTTTCAAATCCGGAGTTATTCAGTATTACATCCCTTCCCTACTGATCAACAATGCCTTTTTGAACATGTCAACTTTATATGCCTAACAGCATTTCTATTTTTCTTCAGAGACAACATGAAGCAGCAAAGAATACCACAAAGAAGCAGTCTTTGGTGTGAGCAGCCTGCTCCTTTTCCCCACTAACATGTTCAAAAGATTAATACACATTAAAAAGAATTATGATGCTTGGCATTCCATCAGTTTATGATAGAGCTGAATGTAAAATAAAAATACTTTAGCTGGAGATGGTGGCACTCATCTGTAGTCCTAGCACTTGGCAAACTGAGGCAAGAGGATCAACTCAAATTTGAGGCCAGCGGGGGCTACTTGAGGAGTGTTAGGCCAGCCCAGGCTATCTCAAAAAAGTAATTTTTGTTTTTAGTATGAACATTTATTTATAGAGTAACTCAAGAAGTTACGTAGGAAATTCACAATGTATATGTAATAATAATGCTATATAAAAATGAGTGAGAATACACATACACACATACACGCACACTTTAAGCTATTTTTTTTTTAAAATGGAAAGAGTGATTTTGCAGAATTCATTTTCCTCCTCACCTTTTTCCAGATTAGGCAGGTATTTAGAAATATATCCTTCTTGCCTCCCACATTGTACTAACAAGGACAACAGGCCTAGAAAATTATGGGTGAACTAATGATGGGGTTTTACAGCTAACATGATAGGATAACTAATAGCCTACATACAAATAAGAGGAGAGAACAGTAAGATTTAGCACATGGAGTGAGTTTTAGCTGGCCAAATATCAGATGTTTTATGAGCCTCATGCCATCCTTGTGAAGGCAGGAGGTTACTGCTGTTGGCTTCATGGGGGCTTTAGGCAGTACAGTGATTCTCTGAAACTACTACAAAGATTGGTCTGTGGAGACAAGGAAAAGGAACCTAAGGACAAGATATGAGTGACAAACTGAAACACCAAGTGAAAGGTATGTTGGGGAAAACCATAGTTAGTTATAGTATAAACATTAAAATACTATCTGTTCCTTGGGCTGGAGAGATGGCTCAGCAACGGTTAAGAGCACAGACTGCTCTTCCAGAGGACCTGGGTTCAATGCCCAGGACTTACATAGAGGCTTACAACCATCTGTAGCTCCAGTCCTTGGGGGATCTAATGCCTTCTCCTGGCCTCTTCAGGCACCAGGCATGCACATGGTGCAGATAGGCAGACATGCCGACCAATCACTCATACACATAAAGTAAATGAATGAGTACAACATGTATGATTATTCCCAAAGACTCAACTAACACACATGAAAAGAGAAAAGATAAGTGAAAATTCATTTTGTTCTTCTCTAATTTTACTTCTCACTTTCCAGGACAGACACACATACAGAGAGACAGGCAGGTAGGCACACATGCATGCATGCATGCACACACACTTCAGAATACAGCATCATAAACTATTGTTCAAAGTCTTGTATGAGGTCACATAATTTACTGAGTGGGGGCTATGAAAATTTGGCAACAATAAAAGATTTCTGAACACGCAAAGACCCCAGCACAATTTGCAGTTAAACTCAATCTATGGTGACTCTGACAGAGCTCATGTCCCTGCAAGGTAGCAAGTCCGCGGAGCTTCATTCTGCAAACACAACACACACTTTACACTGCACATGTAGTCGTCACACAATCTGACAGATGCTGCCTGTCACACCTCTGCTCTGATTTAAGATCATCGTACGTTAGAAACTGCTGTGTTTTTACTGTGCACACAAAGGAATTACAGGAAACAAACACTATAATATTTTCCTACTGTTGTTCCTTAGCATGAAAATAACAAAAGAGTTATGTCTTTGGACTGTATTATTAGGATATTTGAACTTGAAAGTGTTGAAGATGCTTCATGGCATCCAGTATCAAATGCCAGCCAAGGCTTAATTCTTTCTGTAAGAGTAAGTAAGCATGGGCTGGAGAGATGGCTCAGAGGTTAAGAGTACCGACTGCTCTTCCAGAGGTCCTGAGTTCAATTCCCAGCAACCACATGGTGGCTCACAACCATCCATTATGAGATCTGGTGCCCTCTTTTCATGTGCAAATATACACAGAAGCAGAATGTTGTATACATAATAAATAAATAAATAAAATCTTTTTAAAAAAAGAGTAAGTAAGCATGAGCATCTCATTGATATGTAAATTTGCTTTAATCAGTAACAAATAGAAAAATTGTTTTAAAATACAAATTCTTGGCTTGCATTCCAGTTTTACATGCTTATCTACCCTGAGTCAAGAAAGAAATGTGTTAGCTGAAAGGGGTAGTAGGTGGGAGAAGTTGATGAGATGCTACCCTAGAGAGTAACCCAGCGGGCCCATTAGATTCAACACACAGTGCTAAACAAACATAGGGAAGAGGTAAGGTACATTTCCACAAGATAAAACCCTGCTCTGAATTCAGTTCCAAAGTACTAGAGGCATGAAAATACAATAAAAACTCCCCCACAATTTTCTTTCTTTTTTTCTTTTTTTTTTGGTTTTTCGAGACAGGGTTTCTCTGTGTAGCTTTGGAGCCTATCCTGGCACTCGCTCTGGAGACCAGGCTGGCCTCGAACTCACAGAGATCCGCCTGCCTCTGGCTCCCGAGTGCTGGGATTAAAGGCGTGCGCCACCAACGCCCGGCTTCCCACAATTTTCTTAAAATTATTTTTGTATTTAAATAGAATTTAGTTATCATGTATGCCCTACAGAAGATTTTTAAAAAGAAAAGAAAATTTTAGCCTGTAGAATCTGGGAATGATGTGTGTAGTTCAGTCATCAGATCAGGATTGCAGCAGACGGAAAGAGTCACAAGAAAGAAGCAATCAATGGAGTTCTCTGCCGTCAACATCCGGGGAGAAGGCAAAACAACACTGCTGGAAATTTTAAGCAAAATAACATCAAGAAAAAAAAACAAAACCTTGTTATTCTATTCTTCACCTCATTAAATCAGAACTTTGAGAAAGGCAGAGACACATTGTATTGCTTGGCTAACCTTTAAGTGATCTTATTTTTCCAGATATTTATCATATAAACAAGGGACCCCTGCCTGCCCAGTGCTGTGCATAAGGAGTCTGCTCTGAAGGCTCTGGCATGATGAAAATGTCATGCCCTTGGTTATGACACAAATGTTAGATTTCAAGCAAACATAAGTGGGGAGTGGGGAGAGTGGAGACACAGCTGGCTGGGAGTAGAGCTGGTGTGAGCTGAAGAAAAACACTGACAGGTCAAGTGTTTGCACAGAGCTAAGCAGCCGCTGTCTTTATGGAAGTAACTCTTTCTTAAGTATTCCCGATGTTCACTTCTGTATAAGCTGCCAAGTACCAAGAGGTTGTACCATCTATTTTGATAAACACCAATGCTAAAAGACTTTCCTGGAATTGAAGATGCATGCTGTAATGGGTACAAATGCCCAGTGATGTGTGAACCTTCCAAACTCAGAATCCACGTTATACACTGGTCTTCTAGATGCACCATGAATTTCACCAGAAGCACAGAAGCCATATTTAATGCACTGGACGTGAGAAAAGTTCATCTGATTTTATACTGTTCAGGGAAAGTTGTTATGACATTGAAGGCCTTCAGCAAGTGTAAAGGAATCAAACTTACTTGTAAGACTGAGACAGGAGGATTAGTGTGAATTCAAGGCCAGCTTGGGATATTTGGGGACGACCCTTTTTCAAAACAAAACAAAAAGAACCAAGAAGTTATGAATCATGACCAGAGCTTCGGTGTTCCAAACCCTGAAAAAGCCTGTTCCCTGACCCTCCTGCCATGCTTGCTGTGTGTGTCACTTAAGCTGTACTGTTTTTCTAAGTATTTATTTTACATCCTGACCTCAGTTTCCCCTCCCTCCTCTCCTCCCAGTTCCTCCCTCACCTCTCTGTCCCCTTTTCCACTCCCCTCTAGCTTCTGTTGTTACTTAAGCTTTAAAACACAGAGCCAAAGTAACAACTTCTGCCTTGATTGCTCCACTTAGCCATTTTCCCAATTGAACAAGACATCTAGAAGTGCCCCAGGAATGCAGACAGTGTCTTTACAAAATCCCTGTGTATACCAACGCTGGACTACAAGTGGAAAGCTGGGAGCACAGTGGTTAGTAAACACATGACTATTACACTTCCCAGAAACAAGACACAAGTACCATGCTGTGAAAGAGTCACTTTCAAAGGAAGACAGCACCAGTGCCATGTCACTAGGACAGAGATATCCTGGAAGGAAAAATTCTATCTGATCCCCGAAGCTGACCCCACTTCACTGATATTCCATGACAGCCAAAGTTCAGCCTGAAAC